GAATCTGGCCTTGGGGCAGCAGAGAGAGTAAATCCGTCACTGGGTGTGATGGTCAGGTGTCCACAAACCAATGTCTATATAGTCCATGGGTGTCATCTGTATGTTATTTTGGATTAATGTAAAGATTCCCAACACATAGATTATTCAAAATAAAGCCAAGAAACATAATAATACATTAAATACATAAAATTCGTCCTACCTGCTATAGTATTTGCATTACCTGAACCATTTTGGTGTGCAGCCCCTGACCCATTTCTGTCCCGCCGTGGGTTAACAGGACTGACCCATCTATGTACACATGGACCAGAGCTCCGGCCTGTAGAACAGAAGACATGAAGAACATATGAAATGGACACAGGAAGCATCTCAATAACCGGAACTACTTCCTAAACATGAAAGTATCAGGGGTTTGTTTCTTCATCAGGTGATTGGTCCTTGGTTTTGTGTTACTATTAGCTTTTGGCAAAGCTGGGCTGATTTTCGGCACCTGGCTGTAGGTATTTCGAGTGATGTAGAAAAATGAAAGGGGTCAATTTGTAAACAATTCCCAGAGCTTTTTGTAATTGGAAACCCTGTAAAGGTTTGTTGTGTGTGAATGGAGGCCAAAAAAAAAAAAACCGAACGTTCTCAGTATATTTTCAAGCCAAATCTAATATTAGGGAACATAGTGCATTATGGATACTACATGGACGAAGTATATATTTCCTATGCTCCTCAGCTCCATCTACTGGCCATAATGTAGCATTTTCCAGATATTACATTCAACTTGAAATATACTAAGAACATCCACTTTTGCTACTATGTGCACAGAACATACCATTAGACCCCATAGTGTTGTTATCAAGCATCTGCATTGCACTCTTCCACAACATGCACACTTGGGGTTGACTGAAGTGTCATTAACTAAAGGCATGTGCAAACAAACTGCTCCTAAAAAAAAAAGAGAGGACCCCGTTTCTCTTTTAACAAACCTGGTTGAGGAGGGCAAGGGTGAAACAGATGCCAAACTTGGTTGGGATTATAGAGATCCCCCTCTTCTTCCATCGGTGTTGCCTGCATGACAATACACAGACACATTACAGATATATAAAGTTTTTACATGTTTTGTCTGTGCAGTGACACAGGGAAAACCCCGACCATTAACCTGACCTTCAACGTAATGCAGCTCGATTTAGCAAAGCTTCTCACGTGAGCGTTGGGTGGTTCCTGAAAGTGCCAAGTTCTACCATTTCCTAGTACAGGAAATGAGTTGCCACCACCAGGTGACTTGACTCGCATCCAGTTTTGGGTCACTGCTGACACCACAGCCTTAAACATGTGAAGCTACAACCATGGGTCCACTAAGAGCATTTGAGAAGCCAAAGGCCAGGGCCAGTGCTGGACTATTTTGCGCCCTAGGCAAGACCAGCACCACCCACTCCCGTGGCGCAACTCCCAATCCACCCCCCCTCCCC